ATAGATAGATAGATAGATAGATAGATAGATAGATAGATAGATAGATAGATAGATAGATAGATAGATAGATAGATAGATAGATATTTTTATACATACATATATGTCACTCTATAGATTAGAAAGTGAAAAATCAAGACTGCAAAAGATTCATTTTCTGTTACTGAAATGTCAATCTAAGAAACACTACAAGGAGAAATCACATCAACGTATATTTATAAAATCACAAGTTACTTGGAAATAAAGCATTACTGTCATGGAATAGGTTCTTATTCTTCAAAAGTCAATTTAAAAAGCTTCACTTCAGTGCGCCTAGTGAGCATCTGTCTCTTTAGGGTCCTCACTTTATAGTAATTAGTGTTAAAAAGTGGCAGTCCCAGGATGATTCTCTCCTGATTGACTCAGTCACATGAATCTTCCAGCCACGCTCTGGGGTTTGCCATCAACTCTGAACATTTTCTATCAGCAATGCAAGCGTCCTCTGAACTCATTAGTGTCGAATCAGAGAGCGGATGCTGTGGAAAACCACCTGTTGAAACGCAGTCTGTTTACACTGAGACGCAGCACTGGCAGTTTTAATCATCATCACACTGGCTGACCTTTTTTCTTCATTTAAAACAAATGACAGGCTTGTTTGAGATGCGGGCCGTCAGAGAGACACTCTGCAGCATGAAAACATATCTGATATGCAGATCCCCCTTTTTTTTGATCTCTCATTATCTTACCTTTCATTTGCGTTAACTTGGCATGCAGTAAGCTCCCTCTCGCTCTCTCTTTTTCTCTCTATCAGAAGTCCACTTGTCGTGAAAGATATCCTCCTCCTCCACCTCTCTCAGATGCCCCTTTTTTGTTCTCGCTCTGTGGCGTAGAGGAAATAGGAGTGTGGCCACAGGTGATGGAAACTACACATGCAGCGGCCACAAGAAAGGAAGGGTAGCTGCTGCAGCGGCTCAATCAGCAACATGTGGTTGCAAAAACTGTTTCATTTATTCTCTCCTCCTCCTCCTCCTCCTCCTCCTCTTCTTGACTGTGTGGACGCTGGAGTTTCAGAGAGAGACAGACAGAAAGAGAGAGAGGGACTGAGACACAGGGTCCAAAAACATCCCCCTTCCCATCCCCATTCAAAGCACCACCCACTCATTCAAGCCCTCGATGACAGTGTGTTAGGTATCCTCTTTAATAACATGAGATCAGTGCCTGACATGTACTGTAACACCAGGAGCAGAGAGGTGGGAAATACAGCGTTACAGGTCTCCCTCATATCACCTAGAATCTCTCCTGTGGTGCGATTGGAAAGCCCTTAATGTTTTTAATCCAGTGTGGGCGTTTGGCTGTCTCTCTGTTTTGCGATCACTCTGTTACATCCATCTGTTTTCTGCTTGAGGTTACCATGACAATTAATATGTCATTATAAAATCATTTTACTATAGTTGCAAACATGTAGATCGTTGTCTGTGTGCGTGTGGGTTGGCTGAAACTCAACATCCGCCTCCAAATTGAATTAACCTGCAGCCAATAAAGCTCCCTCCTCCTCCCCCCTTCCCTCGTGCTTTCCTTTCTATCTGTTTCTCGACCTCTCTTTCTCTATTTCTCACATCCACATGGCATGAATGGTAAAGGAAAACCCCACGTCAATCCAGAGCTTTTCTTTTGCAAAAATAAAAACTGCTTCTGTCATCTTTCAACTTGATTAATCCTTCAGTTAATCGTTTGATCTATAAGATGTCAGAAAATCCCAAATGTTGGTTGCTTATTTTGGCCACTTTCTAAAGACACAAGTCACAAAAATAGGCAAATCCTCACACTTGAGAAGCTGATAAAACCATCTCTAGTTTTGCACTGAAAAATTATTTAAATGACTGACTCATGAATTAGAGGAATCGTCCATCTCACACATGTAACTGAGTCATAAATTACATATTGTTATAATTACACAAAATGTGTTCTAAACCCCAAACTGTTCCTGGTATACTTGACTTTTAGGACCTCCAAACCTGTAATTATCTTCATTATCAGTTAGAGCCCCTCCTCATCCTTTTCTTCTTCCTCTTTGGTGCAACCCTATAAATTTGGGGTACCACTTTGGCCTCTCCCCTTTTCTACAGTTCCCCTGTGGGAGAGGTTGGTGTCATTTCTTTTCCAACATTAATTACATGTATCCACCCTGATGTTTCTGATTCCATTCATCCACTGGGGCTGAATGGAAGTCCCTGGGAGCCTATCCCAGACAAGTGATGGGGTACACCCTGTACAGGTTGCCAGTCTGTAGTAGGGCTCATGAAAAATCAATTTATCAAAAACATAAGTAATTTGTAAACCAAAGTGCATATAATTGGTAACTGCAGACTTGCTTTACGGTCGTTTCGGTGTGAAAAAAAACCCTTTAATATAAACATGTAAATTTAAGTGTCTTGAAGTGCCCTTAATAGCCTATACGGATTAAATTAACATTAATTTAACAAGGATCTTTAGAAAATATGGATCTTTAGAAAATATTTTAATTAAATTTAAATATGTAGTGCGTTGCCATCTATTTGTAAACTTTAACACGAACCTTAGCTTGAAAATAATGAATGTTAATTTACATTAAAATAGTCGCATTTAGTAAACTAGCACTAAAACATTACGTATGTAAACACACGTTTACGTTATAAAGTGCTGTATTTTTGCATTTAGCAGTTTAAGTGATAAAATTTAAAATACCTGTCGATGCGCAGTAATTGGTTGCATCTTCTATGAAGGGTGTGTCAGTAAGTTCATTGTGGTGCATTCACGTATCACTCAGAAAGTGCGTAAACGTATCGTGGCTTGTATTTAAGCGTTAAAAGTTCAAAACAAACAAACGAAATGTTTCTCCAAACTTGTGGAAAAAATTACTTTCTTGTATCACACAAAAAGAAAGATGAAAATGGCGCAGTTACTAGAAATATTTATCACATTATAAACTATCTGTGGATGGAACTTGATTAAAAGCTCTCTCACACATTTTACCTAAAGAAACGTCAAAGAATTGGCTTCAAAACGAAAAGCTGAAAAAGCACCACTACTCAGCTTGTTTTTGCTTTGATTAGTTGCGTCTGTGGGCTGAAGTTTTAATATAGTCAATATTTCCAACGCTTGTGAATGCGACACGCGTGGTCCAACAGCAGGTTGCGGTTGGTTCAGGTCGGGACAGCGGCGCGCTCACGCACATCGCTCATGCTGACATCAAACTTTTGCACAAAAAGAAAAAAGGTTGCTCGTCTCGGAAAAAAAACTACACAAAAACTGCCTGAAAATGTCCCAAAACTCTTGGGCAGCTGCAGTGGATGTTCAGGAGGCTACATCCTCACAGGTAACTTTTAAAGGTTACCCAACAACTTCCAAACTGTTGGGTCAAAACGCGTGCTAACTAGCTAGCTTAACGCTGACTTCGCTGTCACTGCTGCGTTATTTGCGCCAAAAAAATTTCAAACATATTTTGTTTTTTTCACCAGCTTGACTTTTCCAAAAAAGTCAGTGGAGTTCGTGGTCCACGCAACGTGATAGGAGACATAAACGGTAACTTAACTATTCGTTTTTCCTCCTTAAAATCACATCTAACTAAATTAACTGCTAACTTATGATTGTGCTGTCATGGTTGTTGCTGGCATTGCCACCTGTGTAGGGAATATCATGCCCGTGAAGGCCGGAAATGGAGGATGGGGAGAGGAGCGAGTCAACCTGGCCGAACAGTCTCTGCTGAACAAACTAATCCGCCGCTCACTGGTGAGGAACAGAAACCAGGTGGAGGTCCTGCAGGCGGACCCCAACTCTCCACTGTACTCGGTGAAGACCTTTGAGGAGCTGAGACTGTGAGTCTGCAAGGAAAACTTCCATCATGCTCGTTTGCTTTGTGTGTTACTTTTATAAAATTACCTTATTTTGTATTTTTAATAGGAAGCCTGAGTTGCTGAAGGGGGTGTACAATATGGGCTTTAACAGACCATCAAGGATCCAGGAAAACGCTTTGCCTATGATGTTGGCACAGCCGTAAGTCTGTTTATAAAAAAAACTACGTTTCAAATTTGTATTTGTTGATTTACATGAAGTTCAAAGATACAAGGGAATTCCATTTAATTTTAGTGTTTGTTTGTTTTGTCCAATTTGTTGAGCTTGGTGAGGCTCTGGTGGAGATTCTTGTTAATTATATGAGGCCGTGAGTGATAATGAGTAAGCTGCCTTCTCAAAGTGTTGTTTTATTGTATTTGCTATTCTGAACCTCTTAGATCTTGCCTTTGACAAGTATCCGAACATCAAAACAATAAAAACTAAACTGAAATGGCAAATTCAGTTGAAAACAAAATGAAAATGGGACTAATGCTGTTTTAACCCTGCCTCATATTGGTAACCTGTCCAGGGTGTACCCTGCCTCTCGCCCAGTGGTAGCTTGAATAGGCTCCAGCCCTGCCATGACCCTGATAAGTGGAAGAAAAAGGAAAGGAAAATGACTACTAGTTAGAAAATGCAACACTATAGTAAGTCAGATTTTTAGTCATTGTTTTGGTAGCGAAGGGAGAAATCTGTTTGATTTATTGACTGAAAACAGTTAAGTTGTTTGAGGGGAGAATCCCAAGTATCTGTCTGTTTTAAATTCGTAAATGTTACAGTAGCGTGCTCTTTTAAAATTTATAATAGTTTTTTTTTTTTTCTCAGTAAATTATCAGGTTGATAGTAATGGCACTTTAATGGACATCTCTTTGCTGTCATCTCAACAAATGGTGTTAAGGGCGTACAGTCATAATTTCCAGTGGCCAGAAAAAATGTACACTGTGGTTTTTCAAGTGGTTTACATTATTGTGTATTTTGCATTATTGACCACTTTTAGAGCTGAGAAACGGTTCCTGTGGGGTCCTGTGTTAAATGTATTTTTCTCTCACTTTTCTAATCATATGAAATAAATAAATTACTACATTACACCAATTAATAACTTAAAAATAACACACTTCATCAGGGGAAACATGGGGCATAGTGATTTTTAAAAAAAAAAAACATTACCTATTTTTAATACTGATAATTGCTCACTTAGAAAATTACACCACCAAAAGACATGCTGGGTAATGCTAGTTGGCTAGCTGCCCATTGTGCTGGCACAGCTGTGAGTTCATATTCACTAATTTTGAATTTGTGCCAAAACAATTAACTTGATAAATATTCTAAGAGATTTATTTAACAGCAATTTTAAGTTATTTCAGAAAAATGTTAACCATTTGCCTTTTTTCATCTTAAAGATGTGTGTGGATGTCACACTTGTGTTCATTTATAATGGTGCCTTGTGCCAAAAAGTTACACTATTTTATTAATATTTAAATATTTAATTACTCTTTAACAGATCCTTGCATATAGGAACCTTAAATTAACAAATGCTGTACAGACAGTCCAGCAAAATGCATACATACAGTTGGCCATGAAAAAAAACAAAGTACATAATCCAAATATCTTCCACTGTTGCCACAATTAATGGAAGACAACAGTTTAAAATGTTTCTTAAAAACAAGAGCAGATGGAGTAAATAACAGGCTGGATCTACTTCTGCTGCCTTTGGGAGACTAAACCTAAGCCCTGATTGAAACATCTGGAACTCAACATGTAAGAGAAGCTGAGGTTCCAAAACGATGATCTGTGCCTTTGAGAAGCTCATACAGATGCAAAAAGTCATTAAGGGCACAGCTTGACAATTCACCCCCAAGTTTGCTTCTATTTTTAAGACTTCCAAACCAGCAAATCATGGAAAATTAAATGACCGAGTCGAGAAAAAAGAATAAAATACTTGTTTAGTGTCATGGCTGCATAAAAGCTTCACAATTATCTATAAAAGAACAACCATTAATTTTCTTTTTTGCATATAGTGTACAATGGCCCAAAATTTATACCTGCTACCATAATGGTATGTGACTAGTCAACTGGACATACATACTTTTCTGCCCTTATTAGTCTTTTATATTGTTTTTACTTTATTTATATATAAAGGTGGTTGTT